ATGCTGGAATTTTTTTTGAGTTGCACTCATATGATAGTTTTGTGCTTCCTGTAATCCTACGCCAAGGCATGTTGATAAACTTGAGGCTAAAGCAAACAGTATTTCACAGCAGACTTTTTTTTTTTTTTGGCCAAAACTTGATAAATGCTCATGCAAAGCTTTTTAAAAGGTTTCTACAGATTACATTTTCCCCAAATTCAAAAACAATTCAAACCACAGATGTTCTCCAACGGAAAAAAAATATGGTTGAATTGCTATTGTGATTCATTGCTTAGCATCATTCTTTCTTAATTGCAAATCCTGAACTTTGCAAATCCTGAACTTTTTAACTGCACTTGTAGTTCAGAAATACAACTTCATCTATTGCAAGGAGCTGCAATACACAATGCCTCCAGAAAAGTTAGCATGCGGTTATCTGCTAGCTAAGCTTTCCCAGGTCATCAATAATTCACTGTCATATATGCCCAGAGCTGGTTTTTTAGAACATGCTTTCTTTTCATCCCCTTTCTAAACTTAAGCAAGATGTAAAGTGCTAGTAAAACCTTTCCTACACCTGTCTTCTCCTTTCCCAGCCGCAATCACTCTTCCTTTCTTCATCCCCATCTCTCTTGAGGATTTTAACACTTCAAGCACAACCTAAACCCAAAAAAAAGTAAGGGTTCAAACAAGCCTACTGTTGAATTCCCTCTCAAGGAAAGAGGGCTGTTCTAATTGTTTTGTACTAACATCAGCTGTGAAAATGACAAAGAGAAAAAAAAAGTCAGCAAAAAATATGTGTGATTACTACACGCTGTCAGGCTGAAAGGGGAAGCATAGTAAATGCAGCAGAAACTCCAGTGGGCGAACATTTCATGAATGAAAGTCATTAGTAAGCACCAAATCCTTCACCTGTTCCTTGCCCTCGCCGCGCACAGCACTAGGCACCTTGAAACTTGTCTGATTTCCTGGAGGCGCTCTTTCCTATTCATCTCCCACAGAGTTGGCAGACCTATTATTATCTTGCTGCCTTTCCCCCACTGCGAATACAGAAAACAGCCCCCTAAATAATCTATAATAGGGATGCGGTGGCTCAGTGGCTAAGACGCTGAGCTTGTCGATCGAAAGGTCAGCAGTTCAGCGGTTCGAATCCCTAGTACCGCGTAACAGGCTGAGCTCCTGTTACTTGTCCCAGCTTCTGCCAACTTAGCAGTTCGAAAGCACGTAAAAAATGCAAGTAGAAAAATAGGGATCAGCTTTGGTGGGAAGGTAACAGCCTTCCGTGCGCCTTTGGCATTTAGTCAACCATGGAGACGTCTTGGGACAGTGCTGGCTCTTCAGCTTTGAAACAGAGATGAGCACCGCTCCCTAGAGTCAGGAACAACTAGCACATATGTGCGAGGGGAACTTTTAACTTTACTTTTAACTAATCTATCTCTCACCATCTCTGGCAATCCCTGAGAAGGTTTCATTCATTTGATCCCTGATAATGGGTAACGCCTGAGCATTTCTCTATGCAAAGCATGTTCTTTTCTCTCCCTTGCCTTCCATTTACTCCATGAAGCTTTCTAACCTCCCGAAACCCAAAGGCACGTGGCCTGATTCACTCAGAGGCCAGAGGTGGCCACAGTCACTGCATATTGATCAGAAAAGGTAATGCAGCGACAGAGAATTTGATAAATTAGTCCTCTCAAATTTCCAGGCTTCACTATCTCTGAGATTCCATTCCATCACAGTGAAATCTGTTCCATTGAAAAAAAAAGGAAAAAAAAGAAAAAGAAATGTTCACTGGAATTTCAGTCTGCTTAGAGGCAGACTGCAAGGACCGCCCCCACCCCCAACCATCCCTATTGCACAGAGAGGAATCTTTAACCAATGGCTCTAAGCAGGAATTTTGGACAGTGGCTTGCGGCGCGAATGGCATGGGGAAGAAAGTCACTGCAAATAGGGTAAAGCGATGCCATGTGGCACTTTCCATTTGCTCCATGAAGCATTCTAACCAGGGGTGGGTTCTAAAATTTTTTACTACCGGTTCTGTGGGCGTGGCTTATTTTGTGGGCATGGCTTGATGGTCATGTGACAATTATTTAGTATTTAGCAGAGGTACTGGTCTACCAGGCTTTTAACTGCTTGCAGAGCTGTACCGATCTACTCATGTATTTTTGCAGGCACTGGTCTACCCATTTATTTTTGCAGGCACTGATCTACTATGTATTTTTGCAGGCACTGGCCTACCCATTTATTTTTGCAGGCACTGATCTACTCATGTATTTTTGCAGGCACCGGTCTACTCATTTGTTTTCTTTTAACACTGATCAGCTGTAGGGTGGCCCTTTCAAACCCTGCAGCAAGAGTTTAAACAGTTTTTTTCCCCCTCTAGCCATCAGCTGGGACTCAGGAGGCAGCAACAGATTGGGGGTGGGGCCAAATAAAAGGTAAGAATAATGCAGGGGGTGGGGGGGCTGGGGGGGGCGGTAGGTGGTGGTGGGGGAGAACCGGTTCAGTGACATCATATCGTCACTGCTACCGGCTCGGTGGAACTGAGCCGAACCGGGAGGAACCCACCACTGATTCTAACCTCCCAAAACCCACTTGCACGTGGCCTGATTCACTCTGGGGCCCCGAGGTGGCAACAGTTACCGCATACTGAGCAGGAAAGTTAATGCAGTGACAGAGAATTTGATAAGTTGGTCCTCTCCAATTGCCAGGCTTCACAATCTCTGAGGTTCCATCACAGTGGAAATCTGTTCCATTGAAAAGAGAAAGAAATGTTCCCTGGAATTTCACTCTGCTTAGAGGCATTGAAAATGATCCTTTTAACTATTTGGCAAGATGTCGCTCCTTATGTTGCTGGAGTGGGAGGGGGGGCACGACCAAAAAATCACCAAAGAGGGACACTATGATAAAAACAGCAGACTGCAAGAAGCCATTAAATCTTCCTATACCTCCCCTTTCTCACCCCCATCTGCCCTGATCTTGCTATTCAGGGTACAATTATCCTATCTTACTAACACGTTCAGTTTCTTCAATGACACACACACACATCCCAAAAAAAAAAAAAGAGGCACAGGTAAGCATCATCAGTCAGTGTGCAAAAATGAACCATCCAGGAACGCAGGCGTCATCATCTCCCGACACGGTCTTCCCATTCAAACACTTTCCAGGAATTCCGTTCTTCACACCCATTCAGAAGCCTGAGTCCACTTCATTGTAAAAAAAAATATATGAATGAATGAATTGATTTAAGACATCTATATCCCTAGGGGGGGGGAGATGAGGGGGGGAGAAAAGCAAGGAACCCTAAGGGACATTGCCCCTTCTTTGCAACATGGCACAGGGTCAAAGCTCAGGGTTTTTCCACCGCTGGGAGAATTGCCTGTGCAAAGCCGTTGTTAGGTCAGTGTGTACAAGCCTATGTGTTCCTTGAGTTGGCTGGTCCTTCTTTTATTTGGACCCATAGTACCTTGAGAATACAACTCTTAGTTGACCTTTGTCTCCTGTTCCACATCTTGCACACAATCACAAGGAATCATGCATCCTCTCTCTCTCTCTCTCTCTCTCTCTCTCTCTCTCAATCCCTTCCTCCCTCCCTCCCTCTCTCTCTCTCTCCCCCCTCCCTTCCTTCCAGCTCCCCCAATCACTGCCACCCCACCCCAATGGTTACAAGGACCCCCAACCATCCCTATTGCACCAGAGAGGAACCTTTAACCAATGGGCCTAATGCTGGAATTTTGGACAGTGGCTTGCACTGTCCAAATGGCAGGGGAAGAAAGTCCCAGCCAGCCAGCCAGCAGGGTAAAGGAGATGCCATGTGGCACCCCCCGGCGTACCCACATGGCTTCCAGCCTCTCCCAGCTGCCAAGTGCTGCAGAACCGTAGCGGGGAGGGGATGGAGGTGGAAAGAGAGAGAGGGAGGGAGAACCCTGGCTCAGCAAGGGGAGCTTCGCTTCTGTGCCCCCCCCCCCCAAAAAAAGTCCAAACCCGACACGGTTTGGGTTTGAGCCCCCCGTGCCCGCGTGCACACGTAACATTTCCCCCCCCCCCTTTTTTTTTTTCTTCTTCCAAAAGAGCCCCGCCACAAAGCCATCCGTCCTCGCCCTTAATCCAGCCCTTGTCGCTGCCGATTTACTCCAGCCAAACCCCGGGGATTAAAGCTCGGGAAACCCCGCTTGGCGCACAAGAACCGAGGCACTGCGGCTCTTCCACCACCCCCGAACCCCGCTGCTTCTTTTCGGCACCGCTCGGTGTAACCAACGTACGGGCTCCGGCTTCTCCTCCTTCGTCCAGCCTCTTTTCTCCCAATCAGCTGCCGCTCACCGCCTTGCCCAACCCCGGATCTACCTGCAGGACCCGAAAGCCGCCTCCTAAAGCCAGCCAGCCTTACGCACCACTTCCCGGTCCAGCCGTTTCCTCCTCTAGCCGGGCACTTTTCTCTCTTTCTCTCTCTCTCTTTCTCTTTCTCTCTTTCTCTCTCCTCCACCCTTCTTCTCCTCCTGATCCGCCCACCCGGCCACCGCCTGCATTTTGAACCCGGCGCCTTCACCCGGCTGAAAATACACCCCCCCCTTCCCACCCCTCGCTTCTCTCCTCCTCCCAAAATAGGAAGTCAAGTCTCCTTTAAACTGCGCAGCGCTCCGGCTCAGTTTCGCTCTCTTCCCTTCCGCGCCCCCCAACAGACAGACACGCGTCTCTCAAATCCCGCGGTCCCCGCCCCGCACGTCTGAATGCGCCCCCACAAGCGCATTGGCTTCCCACCTCCCCACAACCACCACAACCTTTGGGTGCCCAAAGCTTGACGTTCTCCCTTGGCTGAGCCACCCCGCTTAGTTGCCTCGGGAGCTCCTCCGAGTGAGAGCTTGGGAAGGGGAGGGCGCTGCGGAGGATGGGTTGGGGTGGCCGCCCGGGACTCATCCTGGTGTCTCCCCCCCCCCACCTTCCCCGGTCTCCCCAAAACTCCTTCCCCGAAGCTTGTGGGTTTGAATGTCCTCATCTGCCACCGAAAGAGAAAAAGAAGGGGAACCCACCCTTGGTCCAGAGTTGGTAGCAGCAGCAGCAGGAGTAGGAGTAGTAGGAGTAGTAGTAGCAATAGCAGCAGCAGCCGCCAAGGGAGCACTTTAATCCACCGAGCGCCCAGCGGAGGCGAGCCGAGGCTGAGCCGAGACGGGAGAAGGGAGAAGCGTTTTCCCGGCGGCGCTCATGTTGCAGCGTCCCGGAGCTCCGGAGCAAGAGCGCCGGCGAAGAAGAAGAAGAAGAAGTCAGACGCAGCCCCAGCGACAGGCGGCTTTGGCAGCCGGCGCTGTTTGTGGCGAGGAGGAGAAGGAGAAGAAGGAGAAGCCGGGGAGGGGACTAAAGGGGAGGCGCTTGCGAGTCAGGCGTCCGGGAGGGTGTGTGAGTGCGCGTCTGTATGGGCTGCGCGTTATGTGGCGGCGGTGGTGGCGGCGGTGCCTTGCCACCTCTTCGCCAGCGCATTGCAGCGCGGCTCTCTCGCGCTCTCTCGGCTGGCTGGCTGGCTGGGGCGGGAGCGAGGAGGCGAAGCAGCCGGCTCAAGATCGGGCTTTCCGTGAAAGGGATTGACGCGAAGGATTGGGGAAAAAAAAGGGGCCTCACCTTGCTGAGCTCTGAGTCAGCGAAGGGTGGATATACAGGTTCGTGGCTCTTCTTTTTCTTCCGCCTCTCTCCTTCTCCCTCCCTCCCTCCCTCCCTATCTATCTATCTATCTATCTATCTATCTATCTATCATCTATATCCATCCATCCATCCATCCATCCATCCATCCATCTATCTATCTATCCATCTATCTATCTATCTATCTATCTACCTGTCTATCATCTATATCCATCTATCTATCTATCTATCTATCTATCTATCTATCTATCTATCTATCTATCTATCTATCTATCTATCTATCTCCTCCTCCTTTCGCTTCTCAAGCCAGCAAGACTTTGGGAGAACCTGTAACTTCTGAAGGAGAGGACCTCGAAAAGAGGAGAGGCGTGATCTTGGTGACCTTCAACCTTCTGGGTCTCCTCTCCTGAGTTCTCCTGGACTTGGGAGTCCCCATCCTTTCCCAACCTGGGCTAGCTGGCTGAAAAGAATGGGAGGGGGAATGCAGTTGATTTGGATGGAGGGCGTAGGTCTCGGGTTAAGATGATCTTAGGTGTGTTTGTTCAAGGTTATCTTTCCTACCTTTTCACCCTTGGGTGGAGGAGGGCTGTTTTCAAGGCTGGTGCCTTCCCTTCCCATGATCAGAGGACTGTATAGTCCAGCCTTTCTCAATTATACAATGTTGAGGGCATCTTTTTTAATGCACCGGCTTTGAAGGACTTCCAAAGAGAAACAACGTGGGTGGGGAACAAACACCCCCATTTTTATTTATTTTTTGTTGCACCCTTTATTTCGCTTGCCAGGGGGATTAGTTGCTGGGTAGGTTTGCATCAGGTGCAGGAAGGTGCCCCGAATTCCAGATTATCACCAAATGTTACAATCTGCTTATGTCCTTGGTGCTCAAAGTCAAGGTCACTTGGAAGGCCCCCTTCTCCCCTCCCCTTTGAACAAGCAATTAACCTGTCACCAGACATATGCAAACCCCAGGGTTGTTAGCCTAAATATGTTTTTCTAGGGGAAGTATAGCCTATATAGATTGTGTACAATTGTGCCGCAGGTGATTATGATTATATTTGATGCTTTGGAGCTCAAGGAAAAATGCACAGTAGTTTAAATGCCGTTCTGGGTTTGCACTGATCAGCCAGGAAAAAAAAAAAGCAATATTCAGCCATAGCAGTGATTAGGGTTGGACTCGAGCAGATTAAAAAGATTCTCCATCTGCCTTTTTTTGGGGAAGAGGAGGTGATAAGAAAGGAGTCGCTGCTTCTTATTTTTCCACCATCTATGAATGAAACAGGTGTGCCTTTTTTTCTCCCTTAGGCTGTGCAAAGAAATCTTCAAGGCAACAGCCTCTAGATGACCTTTGGATGTTTACCATCGTCTTGTTCTACCTTTACCTCTTGTGAGTTTGGGGTGTGTGTGTGTATATATAAGTGAAGGATGGGAGTGGTAAAGAGTTGGGGATTTTTTCCCCCTTTTAACCCTCCTTAACCAGGAAGCAGCCAAATGGAAAGCTAATCAAACTCCAACCAAGGAAAAGTGTACTGATTCAGCGCACTAATTAATTAACTGCGTATAGCTTAGCAGCATGGGACTATCGGTAGGTATTGCTCTTCGTCGTCTTTTAATTTAAAGCGGGTTTGGGGGGGGTTTTATGTCATGGAATTTACAGTGGGTGGAATTTAGTTTGAAGTCAGTGGAATGAGGTTAACTCGTTCCTCTCCATGTCATGCTGAAGCCCTGGTTTCTTTCAGGTGTGGTTAAGCAAACGATTATTGGCGGGGTTCACAAATCATAAAAATTCTCTAGGGTGCTCTCATTTCTTTTTCAGTGTGGCTTTTGGCAACTTTAACGTCATCAATTGCAGCTCAGCTTCAGATGACTTCGTGGATGTGTGAATTTGGGCAGTTTTCTTGATATTAAGCTGGAATGGTTAGATGGAAGGCTATTGTCTTCTTCCAGGACTTTTAAAAAAAATTATATATATATGTTTGTGTGTGTGTGTGTAATTCCAGCCCACCTAAGAACCTTTGTTCGTCTTCTACTCAAGGACTACCAGTCTGGTCCCACTTAACATCTCAGCTCAGATAAGGTCAATGAGATGGTGCCACTTGCTGAGGTATTTTTAGCATTTAGTGAAAAAACTTTACCACTAATGTGGAAGGATGAACCTTAAACCTTCAAAAATACAGCCACCATTAATTTTATGAAATTTTGCAGTCCTTTACTTCTGGAGATTATCAAACGTTCCTGTGGGGTCTACTGATCCACTGTCATCCCAACATTAATATGCCAACGTGAAAAATTAATACTTGACTTAAGGGACGGGGTGGCTCAGCGGCTAAGTCGCTGAGCTTGTTGATCAAAAGGTCGGCAGTTCAGCGGTTCGAATCCCTAGTGCCGCGTAACGGGGTGAGCTCCCGTTACTTGTCCCAGCTTCTGCTAACCTAGCAGTTCAAAAGCATGTAAAAAATGCAAGTAGAAAAATAGGGACCACCTTTGGTGGGAAGGTAACAGCTTTCCATGCACCTTTGGCATTGAGTCATGCCAGCCACATGACCACGGAGACGTCTTCGGACAGCACTGGCTCTTCGGCTTTGAAACAGAGATGAGCACCGTCCCCTAGAGTCAGGAACGACTAGCACATATGTGCAAGGGAACCTTTACCTTTTTATTGTGCCACCTTTTACAGCAATAATTGCAACACAATCTTATCACGTTGCTGCTACATAAGACGTTTGGGTCTATTCCACCATAGCAAACATTCGAGGGATTTCTAATATAAATGGCTTCTTTTCATTTCTTGTCAGATTTCTATGAGGTTGGGTCTGGCTTTGTCTTGTTCTTTTCAAAGCCCTGAATTTGTTCTTTGTGATTTCTCTTTTAGATTCTCATATGCTTGAGACCACTGTCTTGCTGCATGATCGACGTGTGATTCAGCTTCACCTGATGATAAATGGGTTGATATTCTCTTGTAGAGAGGAAATCATGCTTTCTTCACTTATGGCAAGACTTTCAAGTCCTGAAACCACAAAACAAAGCACAACACTGCCACCACCATGCTTGGCAATTGGTACAAAGTTCTTACGGAATACAATATTTGGTTTCCTCCAGAGATTCATGGCCGATGTAGACTGAAAACATCCATCTTTTGCTCATCTACCCACAGAGCATTTCTCCATAAGTCTGGAGAGTTATTGGGGTGCTTTTTTTAGAAGACCTGACCTCACTATCAGTGCCATGAATCACATTTTTACCCAATGGTTTTCTGAGGGTAGAATTGTGGACACTGACTTTTACTGGGCAGTTGAGACCTGCAAACCCTTGGATGTTTTTATGGAATTCTTCATAGCTTCCCAATTATATGCTGCACCTTTGGGTTGATTTTGACAAGACAGCTGCTCTTGAGAAAGTTTGGTATTGGCCCAGTCCTCTCCATTTCAAACATATATCCCTTGACCATGGATTGATGGAACCTTAGCGCTTTATAAATGGTTGTATGGCCTTATCCAGACTGATAGCCATTATTGATTTATGGAGATCCTCAGATCCTTTTGAGCAACATATTACACGCCTGTAGAATCTATGAGGCGAGAATTTCAATGTAATGAAGCAAGCTAAATTTTGCAGACAGCATGGCTGGCTGATTCCTAATATCTTTAATTGAATCGATTAAACCAGGGGGCACCGTTAACATTTCTCACAGGACACCTTTGCATGTTGGACAAGTATTGTTGATGAAGTGAAATGAAGCAAGGGGCAAATTTTGGAGAGAATTGTTCACTCAAACTTTTTTTTATATATCAGTAGGACTGGCAAATAAATGGAAACATTCCAAAAATTCAAATGCTTTTCACAGATTTCTGCCTCTCGGTCATGTATTTCTGGGTTGCTTTTAGAAACAAAGAGGTAGGTCTCTTGGAATGCTCTTTTCAACTATTGTTTACTCTTTGCATTTAAATTTACATAATGAGTCATATAATTTTGGCAGTCTTCCCAGTCTTCTGATATCCTCCAAAGTTACTGGACTTCAACTCCTATAAATCATAGTCAGCTTCTCCCAAAAGCAACTAGTTGAGAAAGTTCTCCTTGGTTTTTGACAATATTGCATTTCTCTTATGTGCCTTGTAGGGAATTCCCTTGTTGCAACTTTTGAGAGCAATCTAATTTTCCTGGTGAGCAAACTTGATTAAAGTGTAGTATGTTTGTCCGGATCCAGATGAAATCAAGCTTGGGTTTGGTTCAGTGATTCCAGCTGATCATCCCAGTTTTTAGAAGTGCCCCTCATTCTAAACTTCTGAAGGCCTTTAGAGCAGCAAATAAGTCACTTGGAAGCAAACTGGTGTGCAGAGAGAGAGAAAAAATCACTGCACGGTTACTTTCTGCTGTTAACAGAATTATTCCCAAATGAAGAGTTAGTTATTAAAAGAACAAAGCCAATGCAAATCTAAGCTTTCCCATGTTGTAGGGTTAATGCCAAATGAAGCTTAAATATGTAAAACTACCTTTTTCTTGTCTTTGTCACCAGTGGGAATTCGACTGTAATTCTTTGTAGCCTATATGGGTGGCAAGATTTGTTGTTCTGTCAAGTTTCATGATACTATAGGTCAATCCCAAACATATTTGCCTAAAAATAATGTTATTTAGTGAAATGTATTTCCAGTTGTGTACACTATGAACAGCTTTTCTTATA